CCACCCACCCACCCAAAAAAAAGATGAAAAAAATACAACCTTTGAAATGCTTGAACTAAAGATTTTGCTGTTCTTTTTTGGGGCGGCAATTGTCGTTAAAAGGTTGTGTTGATTTTAAGATAGTATTTAGTATCATAGCTTCTACTTAGTTCTATGAAGCTAAGATACTAGTACTTGTAACTTGTAACAGCCATAGTTTTTATAATTATTGTCTATACTTTTATGTTACATCACTCATGATGACACTTGCAAAATGCAACCCATGAACTTGGGACCTAGAAAGGGCAACTCAAGAATTAAGTTCTAAAAATTCCGAGGGAGAAAATGATGTTTTTTTATAACCCCCTGCCCCCACACTTAATTTGTATATTCTTTCTCCGTGAATAATAATCAAGTCGTAGAGCATAACTTATAAGTGTATTATTCAAAAGATATCTGCTTGTAAAAAAAAGAGTTAAATTGATAATCTTGAAAGATAGATTAACTAGTAGAATAGGACCATTTTAGACAAAGCAACAGGAAATATCTCATTTGGGTTTGCGGCCCATATAGCAATTGAGAATTAGTGGTGCTGTTTAAGAGTTACTCCATTAGTTAGCCAAAAACCCATTTCCCGGGTAAAACCAAACAGAAAATAACGATCATCATCATTCCCAAGAAAAGAAAAGACATGAACTTCTATCCACAAAAAACAACTCATCTTCAACTCAAATAATCTTTAAAAATTGTTAGAGAAATTGTTGTCATAATAGTTATGGCTGATTCTTTATGCAAGTTCTTGGATGCTCGGTGTATAACAGGTTCTCAATTCTTGGCCACCTATTTTTCTGCCCAAAAACCCCTCCTTTTCCCAACTCTTGTCAGAAGAAAAAGAAGAAGAAAATCACTTCACATTGCTTTCTGCTCCACATCCATTTCCCCAAATCTTGATGTCGTCTCTACCCATGGTATGTTTTCCCTTTTAAATTGCTTGTATCTTTCTCTTATGTGATTAAAAAAATGTTCTTTTACCAATTTGGTGGGGTTTTGATGTTTCTTCTTTTTGGGGTGTGGCAGAGCATTCTGATGGCACTTTACTGTTTCGGTTTGGGGACCCAAGCGAGATAGAGAAAGAGGATGAATTGGAGGAACCCCTTTTGGGGGTTGAAGAGGTTGGAAGGGATAGTGAGGAGGAGTTTAGTGTGGTGAAGGTTTTAGATGGTGATAATGAGAGAGAAGTCATTGTCAAGAAAGTAGAGAGGGAAGCCAGGGGTGAGGCTGTGACTGTGGTAACTGATGCTGGTGTCTCTGAATCAGTAGTAATTGGCAATGGAAGGAGTGATTTTGTCGAAGTAGAGACTGGATTGAGTGAAAAATTTCTTGGAGATTCCGCAGATGAAATTGGTTTGATTTCACCTGAAGGAATTCAAAATGAATCTGTAGCTGAAGTCGGTATTGAGAATGCAGGACATGTTGAGGAGATTTTCGAAAAGAAAGATGATAGTGAAGCTTCAGTTCCACCACCACCAGAGAATTCTATTCCTTCTTTGGAAGTTGAGGAAAAAATGATGGGTCAATCAAGTGATGAATCGTTTGAAGAATTGGATGATGACAATTCACTTCTTTTAAGTTCACCTGCAGCAATGCCTGTTTATTCTGATTCGGTAAACACTAAGGAAATTGAAGAATCTGAGGGAGAAGGTTCAAGTCAATTTACAGAGAATGATGGTGGCAAGGATTGCTGTGATGATTCAACTCATTCGATGGAAAATGGTGCTGCTTCAGTTGATATTGAGGCAGTGAACAATGATATTGAGATTGTCCAACACACAGAACAAATATCTGAAAATATTGATCCTATATTGGAAGGGCCCGTGGAGAGTGTTCCAGAAGGAATTAATCTGGGGAATACTGAAACTGTTGCTGACGAAATTAGTCCAGAGAATGCTCCCGAGGGAATTAATCTGGGGAATACTGAAACTGTTGTTGACGAAATTAGTCCAGAGAATGCTCCCGAGGGAATTAATCTGGGGAATACTGAAACTGTTGTTGACGAAATTAGTCCAGAGAATGCTCCCGAGGGAATTAATCTGGGGAATACTGAAACTGTTGTTGACAAAATTAGTTCAGACAATGCTCCTGAGGGAATTGATCCAGGGAATACTGAAACTGTTGTTGACGAAATTAGTTCAGACAATGCTCCTGAGGGAAATGATCAGGGGAATAGTGAAACTGTTGTTGACGAAATTAGTCTAGAGAATTCTCCCGAGGGAATTAATCTGGGGAATACTGAAACTGTTGTTGACGAAATTAGTCCAGAGAATGCTCCCGAGGGAATTAATCTGGGGAATACTGAAACTGTTGTTGACGAAATTAGTCCAGAGAATGCTCCCGAGGGAATTAATCTGGGGAATACTGAAACTGTTGTTGACGAAATTAGTCCAGAGAATGCTCCCGAGGGAATTAATCTGGGGAATACTGAAACTGTTGTTGACGAAATTAGTCCAGAGAATGCTCCCGAGGGAATTAATCTGGGGAATACTGAAACTGTTGTTGACGAAATTAGTCCAGAGAATGTTGATATTAGGCATTTGTCTATGGATGCTGAAGACCAGAGTATTGAAGTCCTTAATTTTGAAAATGATGATCAAACCGAGCTGAGTAATTTGTCTGTAGATACAGAAGATCAGGCTTCCCGAAATAGTACCTTCAAGGATAGTGATGAGACTGATGTGATTGAAGTAATGCCTGATTCTCCTAAGCTGGAGGCTGAACCAGTTTTTGATGAGGAAGTTGATCACAACCTAATATCAGAGTCTAATGAAAGTGAAAGTCTATTACCGGTGAGTTTTACCCACTTATCAGTAAGGTTAGACGTGGTAGATTATGTGAGTATCATTACAGTGCTCTGCTTGCTATTAATTATTGTCGATGAGATGAAGCCACCTAAACAGATTATTTAGGTCTGTTGGTTAATAATTTGTGTATCAAATTTATCTGGACGATGCTGTGATTGTCTATTAGAGAATAGGCATTTATTACAGAATAATGTATCTTGTGCAATATGTGGCTATTCCCAAATTTAGAGCTATATTCTTATTTATTCTAGTTAGGGATGTAACATGCCCCTTTGCAAGATTCCTCTGAGTTTAGCAGACATAAGACTGATCCTCAAGCTCAACTAGATATGGTAAACTTGTTTTTAAATGCTACTACGGGTTTGTTGGTGTGCAGCATTTAGTGAGCTGGCTCTTTAAAACTTTATTATTCCTCCAGTGCAGTGGTGATTTAAGAATCAAAAATGATATTTCATCATGGCTGTTTTTTTAACCTTTAAGTTGGGAGTTCTCGTAGTTAATTAGCGTAACACCTAGTTTTTTTTTCTCAACATAATATTATACAAGATGGAATATATATTGGAACTGTGAAATCACATTACTATATGATATCATAGTGACATATGTACAAAGGTATGATGGATATGTGTCATCAAAGAAGCTGCTATTGGTGAAACACTTTAGTAACCTCTTCTCTTTCATACAATCTAAAAAAGAAATGGGCAGCTTTCCCTTCTTTCTCTAGTTTCCAACACAGTGATCTGTTATTCTTTACCTTTGCTATTAGTACGAGAGTTGGGTGACTGTCACGCACACTAGTTGGTCGAAACCTGGCTGCAAAAAACTTTTACTTCAGCTATTAACTTTCACTTGGATTGTTCTTTAGAACTTATGCTTTTATCAACTTAGTGAATTCATCAGCAATTTCCTGGTTCATATTTATCATATTTGCTGCTCTCTTATTGACGAGTAGTTATCCATCTTACGCTACTTAAACACTGATCACTGTCCTAAAGATTTGGTTATACTAACATATTTGGTACTTGAAAGATTCCATGTACACCTCTTCATATATTACATGCTTGAGTGTTTGTTTGGGAGCAAAATGAACTGGTTCTTCCAGCACTTTGTCCCAATCTATACTTAACTGTCAATTTTTTTTTATCCCGATCTACACTTCTCTCAGTCAGATGAAAATTTGCCTAGCTTATCCTTGGAAGAAGAAAGAAAAGAAGATGTAGAAAACACTGAGATCATGGAAGTGTATGATCATGAAGTGGTTGAGGATAAATATTCAGAAGTCTTAGACAGCAGGTAATCTTGCTAATATCTTGGACCTTCCCGATTTTAGAATTATTGCAATTGTTTTATTTTTCTTGGATGTAGAATGTATACATATTCTCTAAATTCGTTAGATACATATGTTGCTAAACTTGTCAAGGATTGGTGATGTTAGAGTTATTTTCTTTACATTTTTCTTCGGTACTATACTGATGTAGAGAAACACACATGTTTAATCCCTTAACAAATAAGAGTAGTTTATTTTGGAAAAGTTCTTCACCCAACCCCCTTTTGGATACAAATTCTATACTCTTGATACATCTGACATCTTATGCTCTCATTTTCAACAGCAAGGAAGCTACACCAGCAGCAGCCGAACTAATTCTGTCTTCTGGTGCTACTTTACTGCAATATCCCTCCAAGGTATTTCAGATATGCCTCATAATTTTCAATTTTTGAAGTTAAAAGTGACCGCTTAGTCATGAGGTTGAATTGAGTTTTATGGTATTTTTGTTATTAAGATGCACAAAAAGGTAGTTCGGCTTTTTAATACATGTATATACACTCACAAGTTTTGAATTTCCAGATGAAATAAATGTTTATTCATTAAAATTGAATGTGGAATATATGTCAGAAGATATTGATTGTTATTTTCTTGTAGCAAATAAAACATCATGATTTATGAATAAGAAATTCGAAAAACAATAAGTAAACCAGGCATTCGCAGGTGGACATGAAGCATATTTTATTGCTTGTGGGAAGTGGCTAGGGGTAGCCGATGCAGTTGGTTCCTGGTCATTGGAAGGTAAAATCTCTCTGACTCGTTTTCCTATCGTGCATGGCACCTGTATAGCCTTGAGTTTCAGTCTGGAATTCATGAAATTAACTTCCATGGAATTTTAGAAGGTTAGAGGCACCTAGTGATATTTTCCAACTCAATGATGATCAAGTCCAGAAGCATTTTAGTATATATCTATTTTAAGAGGATGTATCTTTCATTACTCAGGGAGTGATCCAGGAGTATATGCCCAGGAACTCATGCAAAATAGTGAATCCATTGTTTCTCAGTGCGACACGGATTCAATAAATGACCCTAAGCAAGTCCTTAATCTGAGCGTCTCAAAAACAGATTCCCCTGGATCTTCAACAGTCTTGATTGCTCACTTTGATGGAAAGGTATATTCATTACCAAATTAATGTCTGTCTTGTGCTACACAACACCTCAATTATGGTATCTTCCTGGAAACAGAAGGATGCTCCCATATCTCACACATACCTATAAAAGCATAGTCCGGTGCACGAAGCTTCTCACATTCACACAGGGTTCGAGAAAAGGTTGCACCTCAAGGAGGTGCGATGTAGGTGGCCTACCCTGATACAAATAAAGGTATCATTGGCTGATTACACGGCTCGAACCCTTGAGCTATAAGTCACATGGAGACAACTTTACTGATGCTCCAAGGCTCGCTTTCAGCCCACACACACCAATATATTTGTAAATTCATAATGGAATGACATTTGAATGAATTAAGCTGGAGTCTCGATTTGAATTCTTTATGTTATCATGCTCTTTCCTTTCTCGTTCTTTTCATTCGACAACTTGCTAAATGTTTTCATCTAAAAGATATCATTAGCATGTGTTTGCACTTAATAATAATATAAGAGTAAAGAGTATTAGGAAGTTAATACTGCTATACAGTGAGAAACTTTTGCTAAGATATAGATTGCTGACATGTTACTGGAATAATCTTCAGTTCATCAATTTTCTTATACGCCAGAAAAGATCATGGAAAATATTTACGAATGCTCACTCATGAACTTACTTTGAAATGAAATTTATTGTTAACAGGTTCTTCATGTGGCTAATATTGGCGACTCTGGATTTATCATAGTAAGGAATGGCAGTGTTTATAGGAAGTCATCACCCATGCTTCATGAATTCAATTTGCCTATACAAATTGAGAAAGGCGATGATCCATCTCAACTTCTGGAGGTATGTATGTGGACATGTTTAATGAGGCAATCCGTCTGAGAGATGTATCCAAGCCTTGTATTCAGAAATTACTCCATTTCTTGTGTATTTCACCTTATGCTTCAGGAATACAAGATAGAGTTAGATGAGGGGGACATCATTGTCACTGCAACGGATGCACTTTTTGACAACTTATATGATCAAGAAATAGTGTCAATCGTCTCAAGGTCACTGGAAGCTGACAAAAGTCCTCAGGTGCCAGTGCTATTTTTGTTTACATTTTCTTATCTTTCCTTCTATGAAGTGTTACTGCTGTTTTTTTTATTTTGTGGGAGTGATCCGAAGGGTGCAACTTCTTCTTAGAGACTTTCAGATACAGAACTCGTCCAAAATCCATCGTGTAATTTAATCACATTTCTAGTATGTAATGCAGTGGTCTTTTTTTTCTTCTTTAGGAAATCGCGGAGATTTTGGCAACAAGAGTGCAACAAGTGGGTAGTTCTGCTTCGGGGAGAAGTCCATTTGCTGATGCAGCTCAAGCAGCCGGATATGTTGGGTATACTGGTGGCAAGCGCGATGATGTGGCTGTCATTGTATCAGTAGTTCAAAAGGTAATCGTGTCAAATGACAACTAGTAATATTGCGATATATATATACACATAGTTCCACGTAAATTCTTTAATGTTTCCCTTCCACTTTGTAAGCAGAGTAACTGTAACATCTATGTTGATGGGGTTCAGTTGCTTCATTGAAATGTAAATTTATGGCATCTGATTCCTATGCCTACACCATCCATGTCTGCTCTCGAATGATTCTAATCATCTGTCTTAACGAGACCCTTCCCATTCTTTTTTATAACTATGGTGTCTAAGCCAGCTTGCACACACAAGCACATGTATCGGTACTACTGAATAATTCTGTCTATCAAGGCTTAGGTATTCAAAAGTTATATCTCGAATATTATTATTATATGCAGTTTTTGAAATTTATTTTTAAAGTTCACTCAATTAAACCCTGAGGCATGCTTGTGATATGATTGGAATGTGAGTTGGATTGGTCCCAAAGAACCTCAAAGTCACACTTTTGATATATTTGAACATCTTTTATGGACTAATGGGAGTGAGTTTATTCCCAAACATGTGAGGACCAAATCATTTTTGGAATTAAAAATTATTTCCCCTCCTTGTAAAGGTTGAGCAAATATGTAAAAAAAAATGCTGATGCTTTATATTCCACGTGAAATCTTTCTGCTGGAACTGCAAGCTAAGTCCGCCCTACCAAAAAGAATTCTGGTCTAATATTCTACAAATCTAATTCAAAACACAAACATATTGGTGAAATACTATACTACTCTTTCAAAAGGTGTTCTCTTTGGTAGCAGTTTCAATTTTCTGATGTTTGGTTGGTCAAAATATTTTTGTGAAGAAAATAAGTTTCTTAAAAAAACAAGAAAATGACCTTCCTAACTGTGGAAGTAAGAAAAAAAAACAAATTTCATAACCCATTACCACTACTTGACTACCCCACCTTTACATGAAAATATTCTTGAAATAATATTTCTTATTTATTTGCCAAATATTAAGAAAATCACTAACTTTTAAGAAGACAATTTCTTGTGTACTAAACACATATTCCTTAATGCTTTAAGAGCGTGTGTGTACTAGTTAGAGTGAATATTAACATGGAAAAAAAATTGAAGTCAAATACGAAGCACATAAGCTTATTATTTGGACCATTAATGGAAGTAAATTTCATCGATCCTCATTCAGCTTTCTGCTTATTATTATACAAAAAGTTACTTTTCTGTTTTCTAATATTGCATACAAATTTCATAGGGGCCCATGAAGGCATCACCAATCACGGGAGTAGCAACACAAAGAAATTAAGTAGCCACAACCCACTCACACTTCACTTTCACAAAATCAATAATAGCAATGACCACCTTAATAGCATCATCTTCTTAATCGCTATGTCAATTTAATAGTAAACAACTATTATTAAAATAAGGAATACATATGTACAAACATGTGTCTTTTGAATCTCTAAAACATATATACCTCTAACGAAAAATTCTCACGTTATTACTGGTGGTACCAAAACAATATAATAGCTATTGAGATGCGCGAGCTCAATTAAACAAAATCATAGCGGAGCCATATACATGCTTTCCCATATGTCTAATATTCTTCTTGTTCTATAATAATATTTTTCGTATAGTTATTGAATATTCAAATTTCAATTTTAAAATATGAAATTAATTAAAAAAATTAGTTAAATCAACTCTTGAAAAAATGAAACGTGACAATTAATTTAGAACAAAAAAAGTATATAAAAACAATAATTGAAAGATGAAAAAGTATGTGATTCAACAACCGGTCAATAAAAAAGCAGTACAATATATATAACTCATGATTTTGAGAAGTGGACTTCACATATACTTTGATTAATTAACTATTGCGAAAAAATTGATCAAAGTTAGCACCCTGCTCTTTGAAAGAAAAATAGCTTTTTCTTTCCAACTAATGTGCTTATAATTGCATAAGCACTTGGGGACTCATAAATTGTGTCACATGCATCTTCTAACTTTAAAAATTTCACACTTCAATTCAAAATTTAAAATTTGTACATGGAGATGCAATTATGAAGTATAGTGATTGGGACTAGGCAAGATGTGACGTGTGGCATTTACTGAAGACCAAATTTGAAAATGGAATTCAAGCTTTGCGCCGCATAATATCTGACACCGTAAACGTCTATATGACAAAATGATAAATTTTGAAAGATCATAAAACGCAGACAATCTCTATTTATTTTTAAAATTTAAGTCCAGTTAAATTAGAACACTTAAATTGAGACGAAGGAAATAATATTTGAAATCATTTTGATGGATTATATATTCCGATCCATGTTTTGAATTACAAAATCTGTAGAAAAAGTGGGTGTTATGCGTCAATTTAGGCCTTAAAGTGTCCCACTTTATCGTTTTCAAATGTAAAAGAAACTAGTCCATGTTTGAAATTGAGCATGCATGGTGCATCAAATATCATCATAGTAGGATTTGCATGCCTAGGAATATTTGTTGGCCTTTATGAGGTGACAATTATCAAATAAGAAGTCATTCATTTTCTCTTAATTATTAGCTAGCTGTCTTCATATATTCCGTCCACTTTTACGCATGGATTGTGTTGTTTTTTCATCGTGCTAAGTATTTTGTGTCTGTTTAGATTAACTTATTTTTAGGTGCTTTTAATTTTTTAGTTTTGGAGATGTTATAAAATCATCCACTTTAATTTTACTAAATTTTTTAAAAATAAATCAAAAGTAAGATATCATCTACTTGTGACTTTTAACTTTTGACTTATAAGTTACTTTTCCAAGTCAGCACTACATGTCATGTCTCAGGCATTATTGGAAGGAGACCAAAAAAAAAAGAGAGAATAGATTTCAACAATGATTAGTGAAGTTTGGCCTAATAGGTTATCAAAGGAAAAATCTTTTTGCCAGAAAATTTGGCTAGAATTTATCTATCTTATTTTACCTTTTTAAATATTTTTATCTTTTTAACTTTAATACTTTTTAACTAAAAAATAGAAAAAAGATCAATTTGTTTTAAAATAAAAATAATATTATAATTTTTTTAATTTTCTGGCCATTTAGCCCTTCTCGTTATCAAATACATTTCAACAATGGTTAGTGAATTATTTCCAATTAATTTGTTTGTATGTCTAGTAGTATTAATTAACGAGTGTTAGAATTATTTAATTTGGTGCTAATTTAAGAGCCTCACTGCCAAACATACAAAATAAAACAGAGGTCTTGGCCTTTTCAGCTCAAATTTAGGGATTTACGGCGTTTCCTTTTCATAATTTAGCCGTTGCCAAAGTCCAATCGACTTCTTCCAACTTCTAATCAAATTTCTCCCAAAAACAAGGGCTCGTAGCTCATATTTAAACGTTTGAGTTGATTAATTTTCAAAACTAAGTTAGAATACATAATTCAATATTTTAAAATTAAATTTTTAGATATTCAAAAACTATACGAAAAGTACTATAAATTGCAATTTTTTTTCAATCAATATAATGAAAAAATACATTTTTAAATGTTAGTCAAAATTCATATAGTTTGATTCTCAAAAGAAACTATGACAACTAGAAAGAAAACTAGGCATAATGTATAACAACAAAATTGGTAATAACACATATTAAAAAGTAGTGTAATTAGTTGAAATCTTACCGTATCGTAACCGTTACTGTCTAACTGATTAGTGATATATATCTGTCTCTTATGTTGGTTACGTGCCAAAATACTGTATCGAAATACTAAAATCTGATAGGAAAACGAATAGTTAGTGAAAAGTAGTCACGTAATTAGCAACTTGTTTACATAAAACGTCTTTAAAGATGCAAAAAATAAACAGTCCTATCCAGTGTGTACTACCCTCTTTCAGTTTTATTAATCCATATTTAACTTAACACTACGTATTAAAAAATATTAATAAAATAATAAAATTTATTCTATTATTTTTTTGAATATAATAAATTTAGTATTTTAAAATTTAAAGTAATCATAATTAATAATAAAAAGAATTAGTAATAAATTATTCTTAAAAATTTTCAAATAAAATAAGTTTATATTCATATTCAATTTAACATAGTAAATAAATAAAAATAAACATAAGAAATAAATATTAAATTAAAACAAGCTCGCAAAACTTTGTTAAAAAAAAAAGGAATTAATATAAAATTTACGGTAGAGATGAAGACACACTAATTCAGTATTCTCCACCACGTGTCCTTTATTTTCTGTCAATTTATTTATGTGATATAGCTGAAATATTCAGAGTCAGTCACATTTATTTTATATCGAAATGTTTTTACGTGTCATTTAAATTGTATCATTATAAATTATAGTAATATTTTATATAATATTTAATATATAAATTTAGTACACTATATAAATATGTCATTTTATTTGATTTTAGCTGAGATTTATATTTTAAGTTTGAATGTGCATAAATAAACATCTAAACTTATAGATAAAATTGAAGAAATAACACACCACATCTTACATACATAATATTGTGTGTATATTATTTAATTTTATATAAAAAAAATAGTAGCTATTTTTTCACATCTAATCTAAACTTGAAAAAGCATAAACATTATTTGATATCAAATTTAAAATTATATTTATATACTATATCCATAAATTTCATTTCCAAAAAATTACGTAGAACTTTTTTAAATTCACAATTAAAATATAAAAAAATTGAATATATAGTACCACATAAGTGGAGAATTAAACGGTAGTGATAGCCCGACCCAACCCTTACCCGCCCCACTCTCGTTTTTACTCAATTTATACATACCCTCATTCCAACCTTTCTTCTCCATTCTGTAACACCCCCAAAACTGAAAAGTTCCGAAATCTTTCTCCATTCCATTCTGTTTTCTCCTCAAAATATGTCTTCCAAAATGAACTCATTTGCTCTATTTTGCCTTATTTCAATTTGCTTTTTTTGTTGTAGGAGTGTAGAATCAGCATCTCGTTCGGCCCCTGCTCCGGCAGTAGACTGCAATAACTTGGTACTGAACTTGGCTGATTGTTTATCTTTTGTTACAAATGGAAGTACAGAGAAGAAGCCAGAAGGTACTTGTTGTTCAGGCCTTAAAATGGTGTTGAAAACTGACGCTGAATGCCTTTGTGAGGGTTTTAAAAACAGTGCTCAGTTGGGTGTTGTTCTTAATGTCACTAAAGCTATGGCTCTTCCTGCTGCTTGCCATGTATCTGCTCCTTCTGTCAGCAACTGTGGATGTGAGTTTTCATTATAATTATTATTGACTGCACACAAAGACTTTAGAAATTGTGTTTTTTATAAAATAACTGTAAAATTGTTACTACTAATATATTTCGCAAAAACATTTATCATGTGCTCTGTTTCTGACGATTAAAAAAGTTATTAAGACTTGAGAGTAATACTATTATGTAATTTGAGGTTTTAATTTAATTTTTTTTGTTTTTGTATTTCTACAGTGAGTACTGACACTGGCGCGGCTCCTGGTACGTACAGATCTGGCGCTTAATAGTATTTTTACTTCCTTCTTATGTTGGTTTTTTATTGTGGTTATTAAAAAATGAAATGTTCATTTTCATTACTTCTTTAAAATTGGTTTAAATATCATAATACATTCTTAAATATTTATATACATGAAGAAAAAAAAGATGTTATTGTGATGAGTATGAAGGTGTATTATCCCTAGATCTGAACCTCTAGTTGAATACTGCAATCCACCTACCAAAAAAAAAAACTAAGGAAGAAAAGAATCTCATGAAAGGTTCATTTTGTTTACATCTTTAAAATTATATTACATACAATTATTGAATTGAAGAAATCTAATTGACTGAACTAAATTATTAGACCATCTCCAACCCAACACCAAATTTTACACCATTTTGGTGTAGTGAATTCATCACACCAATTCACTTTATTGAATATTTTTAATATTATTTTATCATACAAAACTTTTAATTAAACATTATATAAATTGTATGTTTTAATTGAATTTCTTGTATATTTAATTATTTTTATGTAATATTTTTATAATATTAATTTTAGTTATAAAAGTTAGCTTTTTTTATAAATTATTTTTTCTATATATGATTTTTAAAAAAATTAAATTTATGTTAATTCTACTATAAATTATAATTAGATATAACTACAATTAACCTTCACAAAAATTAAAAATGCAAACATATAAATTATTAAACAAATAATACAATGTACTTAAAAATAACCGAAAATAATAAACATTCAACAAAGTAGTAATTGGCATACATACAATTTATATAATGTTTAATTATACATTTTGTATAATTTTTGTATAATAAAATAATATTAAAATATTCAATAAAGTGAATTAGTGTGATGAATAGTGTTACACCAAATTTGGTGTAACACTATTTACACACCAAAATGGTGTAAAATTTGTTGGGTTGGAGCTCCAAAACACCAAATTTTACACCAAATAAGGATTTGGTGTTGGATTGGGGATGGCCTTAGTTTAATCAGTAATTGGTTTTTCTTGTTCAATTACTCAAAAAACAAAATAAACTTAAATAACAGAACTGACGTAATGTAATCAGTAGATTAATTTTATGATCATGCTTAACTAATATATCCTGAATAACAACATATATCATGCACGAGTGAGGTCTGGGAGAGTGGTCTGTCTGCAACCTTAGGAGACTGTTTCCAAGATCTTCTACCCGTACTGTTTCCAAAAGTTTATTCACATAGAAGCTAAGTGAACTTATTTACTTATCAAAAGTTTGATTACTATTTGCTCTTTTTCTTGTGGGGATGTGTACGATGTAATGAATTAACTTGTGGACGCGATACCATTCGAACTTCACATTTTTTTCTGTATAGATGTCGAAAAATGATAAAAGTCCCCACACAGGTGGTTAATGGATGAAATTGGTGGTGTCTTTATAAGGCCCCCTTTGAGCTAGTTTTTGGAGTTGAGTTAGACTCACGTTCCATTGATTTTGGCTCTCATAAATTTAATTGTTTTATTTGCTGATACAGCTCTTTCTCCAATTGCTGGACCACCAACCATATCAGCAGTTGCTCCAACCACAGCCGAGGGGGTGAATGTGGTCGCTCCAGTGCCAGCTCCAGGAACCTCCGATTCTACTACACTCGCAGGTCTATCCATTGGACAATTGGGTCTGACACTAGTGGTTGCAGTTTTCTGTTGGTTCTAAACCATTTTAGGATCATATTTTTGTGTTGGTTCTAATCACACGTTTTCTGGGAGATGGAGCAGCACAGATTTGTTGTTTTGTCATTAAACTTTGCTTAGTTGGTGTACTCTAAATTTTATTTATGGTAGTGGTAGATAATTTTGTGAGACCACGTAAATAGGGATCACTTTGTTTTCTGATGAGGTTGCTCTTATTTGGATGATATATTTTTTCGTCAAATCTCACGTCTTCCTCCACTTAAATTGGTTATCTTACTGCTTATTAGTTATTTACTTCATTCTAGTAAAATTTCTATTGACTTGTCCTTTATTTTTGGCAACGTGTTATGGTGAAAGTTTAGTTCCCTTTTCTTTTTTGTGTTTGGTTATTATAAGCTTTATAGTCTGGTCCCTATGTTTGCTACTTATTTAGCTTGCCTTTTTCATGTACGATCAAAAGTATACAGTTCCATTTTCTTTATTTACAACATTTTGAAGGTCTGGTGACTGTACGTTTCAGTACTGTCAGGATCCTTTTTTCTTGTTTGGCCCTCCCTCGCCAGTTTCACCAAGTAAAGGTCAAACGAAGCCTGCCTGTATTTGTTTGCAGTATTGACTCTCTTGGATTCTAACGTGTTCAACATTTTGGGGCTCGTTTGATAGGATGTATAAAATTCTTACCACCTGAATAAATTATTTAATACGTTAAATCAAACGGTGGATAGAAAATAGTTTCAATATAATTAGTTCTAATATTATTAATATGTTCTATTCTTATATACTATATCAATTGACGGCCATCATATATCTAGAGGAAGGAATACGTGGGTTTGTATAGGAGAAAACAAACCATGATAAGATTATTTAGTGGATAAGTATTATTTGGTTTATTAGAATTATTAATAACATGAGATGTACGAAATATAGTTTTCCATAAAACAATTTTTTCCTTTAATGTGTAAAACAAAATAATGGCTTAATATACAAATATTTTTTTCTAACCAAACACATGATTAAGTATTTTTGTTAGATATTTCCAGTTCAAATTTGGAGAACTTTTACGCATATTTTCAAGTATACATTACATTGATAAATTAATCACTTAATATATCATTTCCTAGCCCCAATCAGCTGTAAAACCTTAGGCATGTTACAATTGAGATTATACTTATAATTCCAAACAAATATATTAAGATAGAAAAGAGGCCTTGCTTAGCTAGCAGTCAAGGAAAGAAGGAAGAATGAAAAGTTTAGAATTTGTGACAAAAGCCTATAAATTACAGAATCCATTTCATTTGCACAAACTTTTTTGGTTAACATATGGCTCATAAAGTAGTTGTAAACAAAGCCTAAACTGCAGAAAACAGCCCATGAACAAGTGGTCTAATATGTAAACGGGACTCCTGTTAGTAACCAGACAAAGTGATGTACGTCGAATTTATTAGACGGATTGAGTTATGACTCACATTTGTCGGATTTAATCTATTAAAATGTTTTTTTTTCCCTTGAGAATAATAGGAAACAATAAGCCAAAAAAATATAATTATAAAAAAATAGGTATAAATAGGACAAAGAAATCAGCATCATCAGTACTGGCATTGTTCACATGATGAGAGTTTAACAATTTTTGCACAACAGACATTTTTTTATGAATGATGATAAAACCATAGGATTTAAAACAGAACTCTACCTAAATAGAAACCAATTGCCAAAAACACTTTTTGGCTATTTCTGTAATAAGTCTCTCTTTCACTCTTTCTTGTTCATGTAAATGAAAAACACAATATTTTTTGGTCACTTTTAGGTAATGGCCATTTCTCTTCTTCAACAACTATTTAGAGGCCAAAATTCAGCTCTTTTCACTTTTGATATGCTTTCCAACACACCAACTGGTGACACGTGTCCCATCACTGTTACTCTTTGGCTATCCAAGTCTATGCTGAAAGATGTCACTCCTGCTCATTCAACAAAATATATAAGAGAAAAAAACATAAAAGTAAAACTTGAATTTTCAAAAAGATTACTTTAACTATGCAAGCATCCTCTAAACAAATTTTGAACTGATATTATTACATAATTTTGGATTTGGGTGGATCAGTATGAATATTTATCATTATAATTCGATATGATAGCGCATAATAATAAAACACTACAATAGCTGTGTCTCAATCCTACATAAATTAAAGTTGGCTATATTAATCGTCACATCTAGGTTCTATTTAAGATCATAATCAACAACAATAATGTATGCAGTATGACCTCACACGATATGACCTTTATTCTTACATTTTATGCTGTAAAAAAATTATTTCTGATAGACCCTCTATCAAGAAAAATGTATTAAAACAATGTTCTAATATACCTTCCATCTTGGAGAGATGTTTCTTCACTTTACCAGCACAGCCTTGACAATGAAGTGACACTCTCATCACAACAACCTGCATAAATAAATAAATAAATAAAAATTCAATTAATAAGGATATTAAAACACTGTTAACATCATATTTCAAAATAAATTTGTACTAACCTGGAAGGAGTTATCTGTAAAGGGTATTGAAGGAACAATTTTGCAACCATTTTCTTGATCTCTCTTAGAAATTGTCAAAACAGAGGAACCAGCAGCAGCAGCAACATTTCTTGATCTCTTACTTATAGGCATTGAACCAAGTGTACGAGGTACATCACCTAATCTCTTACACTTGTTGATTAATTTTGTATGATCTTCCATCGACATTCTACGTCGCGCCGCAGGCACGACAACTGACCTTGAATCACAACTCAAACACACTGCAGTTGACACTTGAGGTTGGCACATAAATCCTCTCATTTTCCTTAGTATTTTCTTGTAGGGACAAAGATATATGGTACTCCACTATTTAAAAGATAGCCAAAATGAAGTGAAAGAGAGTATATAAGAAATGCTACTCTTTATGACTTTAGCAACCAGTGGGGCTTGCTAGTGGCAGAGTAGTATACTCCACACTATTTCTACAATAAATTCATCTTATATAGTGTGTAATTTATTATAGCAGGTTAGTTAGAGTACTATATTTATTAGGGTGCCATCAAATGTACTATGTTTGGATATGAGGGGAAAAAATAATTCTCACATTTAATATTATGATGATGATGATGATTAGTAGAGAAGATTTATTACTGAATATATAATAAGATTTGAATTTGGATGGTCAAATGATAACAGAAGGGTCAAGATTTTGAGAAAAAAACAGTACAACTGAACTGATCAGTGGCTTCAGAGTTGGAGCTAAAGTTTTCAAAGTCAAATATTGAAATTTTGTTGTTAATGGAGCCTAATATAGAACAGTACCAAAGTGCAAATTTCAAATCATTTCAAGCTTTTGATTCTTTTAGACTATTTATGTGTACTGATATTTGGTTATCTCATTGATCTAATGATATTTTAATATTTTTAGCTTGGACTCTTTGTAGTTTTTAATTTGTCATTACTACTTTTTATGCAGTTGTAAGAGTTCATAATAAATGAGATAAGGTTATTAACGTGAAAAATCAAATAGTGTGATTTTTTTTACTATGCAACATGTAATGTATATAAGTTAAATATGTTTATAATCCTATGATCGGTTGCTCAAACTCTTAAAAATGTCGTCGGTTGTTTAAGATCTTCAATAGTGCCTTTTTTTAGGAATCCTGAGCTTCACACCGGTTTTGGAGAGTCCTACCAACATATACTCTTAGCAGCATATATTTATCTATTTTTATTTTTATGCTAACCTAAACTCGGTGTCTGGTATTAGTCTTGCGATCTAGCTAATTCGGATCAAAGTACTCTTTGATAGCGAGATCCACTTGACGGATGTCATCATTGAGAAAGCCGAGGGTGAAATTCAGGCAGAGGCGGTTGGTTTAGTTGGTAAAATACTCTTTATCAAAGACAACTTTATTCCAAGTTCTCGAATTGGAGGCCTCTAATTACTAATGAAGTAAGTAGTATTTACCACTCTACCGCAACCTTTTTTATCTGCATTAATTAATCATGATTTTGCAATGCCATGTGAAGCTCTACTTGCATTGCTCATCTTAATTCATTGCCTTGCCTTTGGTAGTTTAACCTAGACACTCTCTCATCTCATCTCAAGTACTACCCTTCCTCTAATGTCCACAAATACTTAAAACTATTGCACTTAGCTATCACATTAAATTGTTGAACCACCTACCTACATTCTCTTATTTTTCTTCATTAATGTTTTCGAATATTTTCCTAGTAATAGTGATACATCTTCCATCTACTTTATTTTCTCCTAAACTATAGAAATAATAACACCTCAGCGTGATTTTAATTACATAGTATGGAGTTTTTACTCATCATGGTAGCTCTTTAGTAAAGGCTGCTGCTGCAATTATATTTATTAAGTGATACCTAACATTATTGCAACCAAAATTAATGCATCACTTTCCTTCTTTACTGAGGAGTTATTGGCATTGCTGCACCCCTAAACTCAGAAAACTAGTTCCTTTGGTGGTCATAAAGACTGATGAAAATTATATGTGATAACAACCCATGCCTAAATATTCATGACATGAACATTTATTAGTTGGTTTAAGATTAATACAACAACAACAACAACATACCTAGTGAAATCCCACAAGTGAGGTCTGAGAGGATAGAATGTACACAGAAAAAGGAATTTACAATTGTACATAAAAAATAATGTTTAAAGTTTGGGAAGAATTTGGAGGGGAATTTCTGTAGACTTCAATATATCATTAAAATGACAATTGGAGCCAACGTTTTTTTGTACGAAAAAAGCAAATCTGCAGTTTTGTATTCATTAATCAGCTATTCAGGGCTAATCCATCACAACATGATGTATTTAAACAGCAGGATCAACTATATTCATATGTACATACTGTTCTAATTTGTTTTTCATCGTACATACTCTTCTTTAGATTAAAAAAAAAAAAAAAAAAAGAGATGCATGGAAGTACAAGGAATGTTGTTAGATTCCGGTTAGAGTTAAAACATGCTGACGTCTGAGAATGCAATGTCACCAAAATAAGCAGTTATGCTCTTCAACATTCCATGAAGCATATTCTCTTCAATCTGCACAAGGAAGCAAGCTCTAGTAAAACTGTATAACAGACAATGCTAGAACACCAAAGAGAAACAGACTACCTCGACTTTCAAGGGGGGAGAAGACAACCAAGCGAGCTCTTCAACTTGCAGTAAGTCAACATTACGAGGCAAGTACATAATGATATTTGGCGCTACGCTTTGAGCAACTTGGAATAATGAATAACTGCACAATAAGTAACTTAAAGAGTCTCATCAACAAAGCACACACTCGTTCTATTAGACAGAAATAAGGTGAATCTAAACTATATAGATAGAATTACACAACAGCAGAGCATACGGAATGAAAACTCAGATTAATGATAGACCAAGAGATAAAAGAGTTGGTCTAATAAATCGTTGATAGAAATTGAAGATCGGATTAATTATGTACTTCATCTATATCCTCCTTTTCCCACCTAGACCCACTTCTCAACCGCATGCTGGATCTGGGAAATTTTATATAAGTCAAAGCCTGAAAATCAAGCTCTAGAATAGCAGCTTAATGATTCCCCTCTATACCAGCCTTTTTGGCATATTTACATCTACAAAAAAGTTCTTGAGGTAATTTAAGACCAAAACTAAGGGGAAATGATATGAATGAAAAAAAAAAAAGTTAAAGTGCCAAAGTATGCAGTTGATTTTCAGAGACACGAAAATCCAACAATGGAAAAATCTTCATACATAGTGAAAACTGAAAAAAGAGTAGATATAGTATTAACTAAATAATCCAACCGATGATGATTGATAGGTTTAATACACAACACAAGAAAGTAATTACCATATAGCATAAACCAGAGTGACATAGAAACAACTAGTTTACCAAATGCAGAACATACCCATTTTTTGGCTTCAGCAAGTCAAGAGTAAAAGATTCCTTTGTGCTGTATGCTGGACCTCCCCATGGTGGTGAAAGAAATACTACATTCCCCTAGTAAAAAGATGATGACAACATTTAGGAAGAGAAACAGCAAAAGAAAATTGCAAGGATTGAATGGGAGTCCCTCACAGGGCATTATATTTCTGTTTTCCTGAATTTTGTGAACATGCAATACTGAAAAAACCTTGCAATGGCCTCATTTTTTGAAATCTAAAAACCATTACTTTGCTGAGAACATATTGACTGGTGAAGGTGCAAAACACATAATTGATGATCCAATATGCAGCTATCCAACCCGTCAAGATCTAACATGGTTAAGTTTAATGCTACTCCAACACAAGTGGAACAATAGCATAGCAAGAAGTAGAATCTATCATCCAGTAGTCTAATATCCTCAAACAGTTTAAAACTTTAAGGAGATTAACTGATGCTCTTTAGTAAAGGTCAGAATTCTGTATTTAGAAGTTTTAACAGCTACTTACAAAACGGAATACTATCTATCCTCAAAGTCTACGTGATTAAGGCAACAACTGAATACATCCAATGTCATATTATTTTATGCAACTTAATGCTGCTTCCAGCATAAATAAGCAGAGGGTGTCAATACTTCATTGAGCCTTAGGCTCCTTCAAGTGACAGAAGTCAACAGCCTTTTGTAGAGACAAATCTGGAATCCTGAACCATATATCATAGCATGGAAACAACAATAGATAACCTCAGTACGCAAAACACGATGCTCTGTCATCTATTTTCAAAAGCCATGCTGTGCCAATCACTTGCGGAACAGTTTAAGGTTTAGCCTTGCCACAATGGTATAGGTGTTCCAGAAGACAGTTTGCTAGACATAATTTTTCTTTTTTTGACAATCAAAACATCCCCGAGGTCAAGAGGCACATGCTTCCAAACTCGGTGGATAATTGGCCTGCCCCTCTACCCTTTTCCACTTAAATACCTGGCTTTTGTCTGTGGCAAGATTCAAATTTGTTGCTAGACATAAATTTCTTTAAATCATTTTGGTTTTCAAAATTGTTAAACTAGGTGCAGACATAATTTCAAAGCTTTAACATGACGAAATACAATCTAAACAGCCAGAAATCAAAACTTTCATGAATCTGTGCCATGCTTAGCATTTTTGTAGAGTCATATACCCAAAAAAGTTGTAAGTCAACTGCCAACTAGAAACAGCAGTTACTTGGATCCCGAAATCAAGAGTTCCAAATCAGTAGTCATCGTGTTTATGAAGACTGAACAAAACTGTTTATTGATCTAGATACCAAATCGCCTGAAGCATGAAAACAGCCTCACTCGTGTGCATGGTTAAAGGCTTTACACATTTGACAATTACCAAACTGCACAATGCAGAATCTTGAAAGCCATACCCTTGCTTTCTAAGATCTTAATTTTGAGGCAGGAAGAACCTCGTATCAAATGTGAAAATCATTAAAAGGTAAAAACTGGTAGAGATAGAAGGTTAATCTAACAAAACAAAAGCATGATCCACTTATATTTATATACGGCAACTAGCACTGGACAGGATCCAGTTTATCACTTCTATTGACCTCATAAAGAAATTATAGATACTAACAGAGAGGATATACCCATTACCTACTATCAATCAATCAATCGAGAGAGAGAAGATGTACCTTCAAGGACGGGGCCAATTGGAAAAAGTCTCCAACAATGAATTCAATATGATCTTCAACACCATATATCTTTGCATTTTCAAAAGCCAATGCGATTTTTCTAGGGTCAATATCAATAGCAATGACGTGATGACACCTATGTATGAGATCATGGACATTAGGATACTGCTACAAATATAGATTGAAAACCAGAAAACAAAATGACAAGTTCTTGATTGACCCACAACAGCAAAATGTACAATTTTATATTCCATACACCCTTAGGATAACAATATAAATGAGTTCTACTTCTACATAAATTTCTGCACTAAGTTTATTTCTACA